GCTAGTGTGAGCCTGGAGAAGTGAAGCACAGATAAAAAAAATAAAATAAAAAAAAACAGATCCGCTCAACTGACACAGGAAGTGGTTAGGAAGGAAGTTTGATGATTTATTCTTTAGCTTCTTGTGAAGTTATAAATGAATTCAAATGATGTATGTCCAGACAGACTGTAGTAATTGAAAGCGTTTCTCTTTTACTGACTTTAATAATGGTTGGAATGGATTTTGACTGACTGATATTTGAAAGCTTAACAGATGTGCACTATATTAAAGGGGTGATCTAGAGTATATTTTTAGGTTTGGTTGTGTTTATAAGATGCAAAGCAAAGTGTGCTCATGCTTGATTTGTAGAAAATCATGCTATTTTTTATATATCTTACTTTGATTATAAATAGCTTCTCGGCTAACATGAAAGCCACTGTCATATCTCCTGGTTCCTCCGAAAGCCCATCCTCAAAAGGCTCTTATTGGTCAGCTAACATAATGGGCTGTGATTAGCGGATCTGCCCTATGTCACCAGGAAAAGAATCACGCCTCTACTAATGCACACTTTGCGTCTGCTGTGTAAATACTGTGAGAGAAGCTGCTAGCCGTATCAGTTTGAGACTGATATAGACAGAAAATGACACAGAGGACACCGCTGATCCTCACGCCGGCTCTCTAAAATAATTGGAGCATGTGTATATAATACGAAACGTTCACATATCTTTTGCAAATTTGTTATTTGAGATGTAGAACACATGGAAAGCAGAGAGAGAGACACTGCAGCGCTGATGAAGATTGTGGCCATTTACAGCGGTTTGACTGATAAATATGAATTTGTAGCTAAGTTGTTAAGGGTGTTAAACAGCATTTAGTTTTGTTTGCATCCTTGCCGACATATCGTTAGTGCCACAAACTGTGCATGTAGTTGATTATTTTTACCAAATAAATACACTTACTGGTTGTGCCTCACAATCCACAGTTTCATCGGTTGGAGTTTTAACCGAATTCAGCACTGAACTGAGAGAGATTCTGCAAGCTGTCCTTTGTCAAATGCTAGAGCTATATCGTTTTTAGAATTCTCTGGAACATAATTCAAATCAAACTGTAAGCACTTCTCTCTTTGTGTCGTGTCCTTTGGAAGCCAAAATACAGAAACAGAAGAATCTTTGTGGAAATAGCAACATTTGGACTCCATTTTAGCTTTATCTGCTATAACATTACATCGCTTCTGACCGCTTCGATGCGTGGGGTGTATGTGCATAGTGAATGCACGTAACCTGAAGCGTTTGTGATCTCACTAACGCGGATGTATTTTTTTGTAGCCCCCAAATTCGTTCGTTGTAGGCTTTGCTAAGCTAACTTTTTAAAAGCCAATGTCTCCCTTTGCATTGAACTTTGAGCGTATTACATTCAGAGATGTTGTTTATGTTCACACAGCTACATTACACATCAGCTAAAGTTTAAAATATCATATCGTAGTGGACCATCCTTTTAAAGATGGCTAAACGAGTGGGTTCATTGCTCTTAAAGGAATAGTTCACCCAAAAATTTACACATTCTCACTATTTAACACTTGGGAGATTCTTCTACTTAGTTGAACACAAAAGAAGACGTTTTAAAGAGTGCTAGAAACCTGAAACCATTGGGAAAACAAATACGGATGTCAGTGGGTTCAGATTTCCAAGCTTTCTTCAAAATATATTTATGTTCAACAGAAAAAAGAAGCTTACATAGATCTGTGAAGGGAGAGTAAATGATGACACAGTTTTCATTTTTGGGTGAACTATCCCTTTAAGAAGAGGGAGGGTCTTGCCCTACCCACATACACAATGCATATAGGAAATGTCTGGTCAAATTTTATTCAGGTATCAACCGAAAGAGCAGAATGTTGGGTTTCTACACAATCGATTTGTGTCAGGCCTACTTAAAAAATTAAATTAACTTGTTAGTTTGGTGTTGTTTTAGCTCATTTTAAATAAGTAGTTGAGTGCTGTGTTTATTCAAAACAGCCGTGTTTATTCAGTACACCCGTTTTCTGAACCAAATGAACAATTCTTTTAAAAAAAAAAGCAATACATTACTTTTTGTGTAACATCCTGTGCATACACAAGCATTTCAGGGTGATCTTTACCAAAGTATAGATGCAGTATAATAAGTTCCTCTTTATCACCGTGTGTTGTAAACAGGCCCAGAAGAGACAGTAATGTAATCTTGGACATTACACCACACCCTTTTTCACTTCCTCGGTCACAGTTGGCAGATTTTATTCAGATATTTAGATCCTGATCATTTCCACTCCACCCTACTGAGACACATTAAGTCCTGTTTGCTCTCTCTAATCCAGCAGGCATTAGATTTATACAGCCATACAGAGGTAACTCGGTGAAGCAGAGCCTTATCCAGCCTGATGGAGCAACATTTTCCTCTGTTGCTCAAATCGCCACACCCTCAGGTTTGGTGTTGTACGTTTGCAAGAAAAGGCGGGCAGAGACTGCATGGAGGAGCCTCTGCAGTCAGCCAGTCAGAGAGCTGCAAAATGTGCTCCGGAAACTGTGCTAAGCATGCGGTCAGCACTAACATGAGTGGGCAACTGCGCCACTTGGTGGTGGTTGTAGTAATGATTTTTTTCATTTTTACATGTGTTTTTTGGGTTTTTGACGTGACGTTGCATTTTAACATTTTTAAAAAGAATGTAATTAGTGTTGTCATCATTTCAAATGCAGTAAATGCTGTACTATTTATTTGTTTTCCATGTCATAAAAACGGCTGTGTTAGGGCTTTTTTTTATTTTATTTATTTTTCTCTTTTGAGGCAAATCTCAAAGCTGTCCTATGGTGTAATTTAAGTCTAGTTCAGTAAAGGACAACTCTGAACAATTAAAAAGGAAATGGTAAAATCATTCATAAATACATCAGGCCTGATTTTGCAAGTGGCCATATTAGTAAAATTAGTAAAGTTTTTCATCAATATAATTCTTAAAACATAGGCACTTGATACATTTTGTCCGTGAAAACATTGTCCTGTGGTGTAAGAAGGATGAAACCTGCAAAAACTATAAATAAATACACAAATAAATAAATATAAATAAACCAGTAAATAAATCCATAAATTCTTGTATAAATATTCAAATAAATAAATATTCAAATAAATAAATAATGTATATAAAAATCCACAAAATCCTGCATAAATAAATATATAAATAGTTAATAGTGCGGGCAGGTAAACAATTAAATTAATTACATGAACTTTGGGGGAATAAGAAAATGCTAAACTTAAAATTGAGTATCCCTCCTTACATTTATTCATTCTTGAATGAAGCTGCATATTTATCTATCCTCAGATCAACATGCTAATGAGAGGGTGTCTGTCAATCATCAAAAGGCGGTCTTTATGCCATCATTGGTTGATTGTTGAAAAAAAAATTTGCATTCGATTTATCCATTTATTTATTATTTGGACTGGCTTTTGATGATTGACAGACCTTATTTCGAAACCACTATAAAATTGTTATTTTGGTGTGACGATCACATTTATTGAAAATTTTCAACAAGACATGGACATCAAAAATTGTACTCAAATTTTAATGTAAAATAAAAATCTCTATATAAAAAAGTAGTGTCCAACAATGATCTCATGCTGTTTTTAAAAAAATATGTATAATTAATAGTTGTTTTATTGATTTCTAGGACATATTTAAGGTACAATTAAATAATGTAATGTAAAAAAAAATAAACTGAGAGCTAAAGTTGCTGACCCCTTGTATTTTCCTAAACATGAAACTATATAAATGATTTTATTATTTGAAAAAATAATCATTTATATTTAAAAAAAGCATTTTTGCAGCCTATTTGTCAGCTGTCCTTATCCAAAATGCATATGTGGTAATGCAATGGAAAATATTATACTGTAGATTTTTGCACCCAACCAATATTATCAGCTCTGGAATCAGTCAACTTTACAATTTTTTTAGTCCTCTGCTGCAGTTCTGCAAGGAAGTCGTGCCGTTTATTTTCCTGAAGGGTAATGTGTAGTTGTTTATACAATATTGGCTGCTATATTATTGAATAATTAAACACCTATTCTCTTTCAGTCTCCACTCATTTTTCCAGCTTTTGTTGTCTCTAAATGATATTGGTGTGTTTTTCTTTCATGTCATGCTGCATCTGTTGACAGTAAAAACAGTTTTTTTAATGTAATTGTAGTGACAGTATTATTACCTTATAATAAATTTATTGCCCTTTTCCTGCAGTTTTATTTTGTTCTATGATGTACAGAAGATGCTTGAATTTTTTTTTTATGCAATGTGTGCTGGCTTTTCTGAAATATTATTTATTGACTAGGACTGTGGAAATCTGAAATGAATCACATATAATAGCATCAAATAGCCATATATATATATATATATATATATATATATATATATATATATATATATATATATATATATATATATATATATATATATATATATATAT